GCCGCATCAATTCGAAGGGACATTGTATACAGCAACTTCGCTTCGCGCACACTGTACTGGAAGCTAGCAATAGCAAGCGCAGGAGGCAGGCTGAGGCTTCACACACACATCTCTCGCACCACATCCTGTACCTTTTACATCTCCGCATCTGCCAGGGGCGATCGGACTATCCCGTCTTGCACTGAGCTGTCTTTCTGGACCTTGTCACCACGCGCCGACAGCGGCACTGTACGTATGGCCTTACACTCTACGCTGTTTGTCTTTTCTCTGGCTTTCGCATCGCAACAGACGGCAAACGCATACTTTCTTTTACCACCCCTCTATCTCATCATGCTGATTTGTATGCCAATCACAGAATTGCATGTACTTTGGCTATTGATACTAGCACATCAAGTACCTAAAAGCGAATTAAAGAAAGAATACCGGAACAGAACTCATCGCTTACTGCAGTTGACTTGACATACCACAGCAGACATGGCTGACGACGACAACTTCGATATCGACATCTACGGCGATGACTCCTACCAAGACTCGACCGCGCAGCAAGACACCACCGTAACCGACGCCAACACTCCCAACACAGATGCGAACGCTGCGGCATCAAACAACGCACCGGATACCACGAAGGCGGAAAACGGCGAACAAGCGATCAAAGAGTCCACAGAGGACGCAACAAACGGGGATGGCCATCACGACCAGAGCACCCAACAGATAGCATCCACAGGGGGTGCGGCTGGCCTCGACGTTCACAAACAAGCACCTCAGCAACAGGGTACAAAGCGCAAGCAGGGTGAGGACGATGATCGCCCGACTGATCCTGGCGCGACCGCAGCGCTTATGATCAACGACGTAAACTGGTGGATTAGCGAAGAAGACATCCGCGGATGGGCTAATCAGAGTGGTTGCGAAGACGAACTTGTCGAGGTAACCTTCAACGAGCACAAGGTCAACGGAAAGAGCAAAGGGTTAGTCACTCCATTGCTTTGAGGCACACCAGGCTAATCGTTCTTGTAGTCAAGTCTTCGCTCTTTTGAACTCACCCCAAGCAGCCACTGCTTTGAAGCACCAGATCGAGAACCTCTTCCGAGACCAAGCCCACACGAAGAAGCCGACCGCGATCTTCAGTCCTCCACACGTCAATCCGTTTAAGACACTACCAAAGGATGTCCCCGCGCGAGACAAGGGTAGGAACGATCGCGCTACTTCCGGCAATTACGGCAACCAAGGTGGATATAACAACAGAGGCGGATACAACAACAACCGTGGCAACTTTAACAGAGGAGGCATGGGCTACCAAAATAACCGTAACTTCTCTCCTGCTGGTGGTAACATGGGCGGCAACATGGGAGGCTACGGGGCTCAAGCACCGATGGGCAACTTCGGCAACCCTATGGGCGGTATGAACAACTTCGGAGGCGGCTTCAACCGCGGTGGTATGATGGGCGGTAACATGCGCGGCGGCATGGGCAATCGTGGTCGTGGCGGCAACATGGGCATGAACCCTATGGGCGGGAACCCCATGGGTGGCATGAACATGCCTATGGGCGGCAATATGATGGGCATGGGGGCCAACATGATGGGTATGGGTGGTGGCAATATGGGCATGATGGGAGGAATGGGTACGTCGAGAATCTTTCATCCTCCGACTAGTGACTTAACCCCCATACTTCTTGGTCCTTTGCTTGGATGATCGCTAACACTAAGACTATAGGAGGTGGCTTCGGCGCCAGCCCAGGTTTCAACCCAGGATTCTTCCAAGGCAATCAAGGCGGCAACGATGGCAGCTGGCAGAACCCGCACGGTGCCAAGAGGCCCCGCCCTGAGTAGGGTTCCGAGCGCGAGCGTCTATACCACGTGCCAAGAGAGCTATGCAAGCCGCATCGTGATTCGTCAGAAGATCGGAGAATCTATTACCGCAAGATGCACGAACGCCATGTTGCCGCGAAAGAGTACAAACGTCAACGCGAGTTAAGGGGCCGCCCTTCCGCAGACGACTTGTCTGATAAGACCTTGGACCAAATCATATGCGGCGTTTTTCCTTGAAAACGTTTCGTGTCTCATGCGACACTGTGGGTTAGTGACCTTCTTAGTACCTGGTCTTTTTCTTCTTTTTCGGCGTTCTTAGGGCGGTCAAGACGTCTTCCAGGAATCAATCTCTTCTTCAATTGTTTTGCTAGCTCTCTCTCTTGTTTCCCCCAATGGCATACTGTACGCTGATGGTACTCGGAGGCCTTCACCTTTTGATACATCATTGTCTTAGATCTTTTACTGGGGGTCTTGTCTGCCTTTTGGGTATCGGAAATATCGCACGTGTATGCACTGATCACACGTGTGGTGACTTGAGTACTTTACACTGGGTCAGCAGCTGTCACGGCACATTCTCGCCAAATTGATTTGGATACGGAATAACTGTATTACTACTTTGAAGATAAGTGTCTTCGGCGTTCGCATGTGAGCTACTTACCCTGAGGGCAAGAGACCAAACCGTGATCACAGGAGTGCCAAAATCCTTGGTGGAGAAATGTCGCTTCCCAGGCTAATTTGGAGTCAGGCCCGTAGGGACCACCTGCATATGAACCCAGACTGGGGCTTATAATAGCGCTAGGACGCGATGTTTCTACCAAACACAGCAACGACCAATGGAATTGTCTCAATCGACCTCGCTATCTCCTTCCAGGCGCCTTCTATACTTTTGCTTCCGCACTGGAAAACCGGGTAAGAAGGCGGCTTTTCAATATAAGCAAATGAAAGTGGAAGCTTGATTGTCGCGCTAGCCGCAAGCGGCGACAACCTGGGGTAACAACCTCATTAACATGCGAGGCTTGTAGAGAGGTGGCGAGGGGAGAGTGGGTCAGGCTATATGGAAGAAAATCTGAGGTGAGTTAGTTGCGCCAAAGACATGGGACAGAGTGTATATCTTGGACTTATTCCTGGCCTTTCTGGAAAACAGCCGGCCAGAGCTCTCAAGGATCACAATGAGAATCTCCCATGCAAGCACAGCAGTGCTGCTTAACAGCGCCTTTGCTGTCGCTCAATGTTCGTTTCTCCATGGTCTCGACAGCGAAATATTGGCTAACACAAGGCAGCGACGAACGGCACTGGCGTAAAGTGCCCTTCGAGTTCAAAGTTCGCGTCGATCTCAGCCGGTACTTTCTTTGCAAAGCTGAATCCGGGGTGGAATGTTGGCAACACGCTCGATGCCGTGGAGACTGAAGGCAGCTGGAACAACCCACCTGTTGTAGGAAGCACATTCGATGATGCGAAAAGAGCTGGCTTCAAGAGCATTCGAATTCCCATTACCTGGGCTTACCACTTCACTTCCCAATCTCCAGACTGGACCGTCGACCCTGTGTGGCTGCAACGTGTATCAGATGTCGTGGACATGGTCACAGACCGCGGATTGTACGCCATTGTCAACGTCCACCACGACTCTTGGACTTGGGCCGATCTGACAGTAGCGAACACGAATGTTACAGCTGTGGAAGAGAGGCTTGGAAAGCTGTGGGAGCAAATTGGCAAAAAGCTGGCTTGCAAGAGCGAGAAGGTTGCTTTCGAGACGATCAATGAGATTCCAGGAACAACGGCTGAGCATGGCGCTGAGGTCAACAGGCTGAACGACATCTTCCTCAAAGCTATCAATGATGCAGGGGGTCACAATCCGAAGCGCGTTGTTACGCTCGTTGGCGCTGGTGAAGATGGAGCGAAGACGTCGCAGTGGTTTAAGAGGCCTGATCCGAAGTTCAAGAATCCTTGGGGCATTCAGTATCACTACTACTCACCTTGTAAGCAGCAACCATGTCACCACACGAGGTATCATGACTAATCATACTGTAGACGACTACGTTTTCCAGGCCTGGGGCAAAACCACGTGGGGCTCTGACGCGGACAAAGCTACTCTTGAAGCCGACCTCGCCGCCGTCCGTGGAAACTTCACCGATATCCCTCTGGTCATCGGTGAGTGGGCTGTATCGCCCGTTGCCACTGAGACTGCAGCGCGCTGGCGATACTTCGACTTCTTCCTCCGCACAGCAGCAAAACACAACACTTCGACCATCCTCTGGGACAACGGAGCCGACTTCCTTGATCGCGCAACGCACGTTTGGCGCGACGAGGTAGCCTTGGACATCTACCGCAATGCAGTCAAAGGCATCCCAAACGCACTCCCGGAAAGTACTACAGACGGCTCTGCCACAACGCAGACGAGTTCCGCGTACATCTACCACCGCAGGAATGAGACTGTAGGAGACGCCACGTTGGGCTTCATGTTCAACGGAAACACACTCAGTAAGATTAGCAAAGGAAGCAGACAGCTAGCCAAAGGCAAAGACTACACCGTCTCAGGCGAGAAGATCACCTTCACAGCTGCATACCTCAAATCGATTGTCACACCTACCTCGCCCACCGGCAGTCTAGCAAACCTAACATTGACTTTCAACCGCGGCGCCGCTCTGCAAGTCAACATCCTCCAGTACACCACACCAGTCCCATCCAGCAAATCTGGTTCCTTACCAGCAGCCGGTCAGGACTTGCTTATCCCAATTACGTGGTCTGGCCAGAACAGGCCTGCTGCCGTCAAGGCTACCAAAGCTGATGGAACGTATCTGGTGGATGACTGGACGCAGTACCTACCTGTGCTACAGCAGGGTCGGGCGACGTACGGTAACCATTGGGACTGGACTGCGCAAGGTGTTGTTATCAAGGCGGCGGCTTTGGATGCTGTTAGGGCGGCGGGCTTGGATACGACGTTCATGATTGAGTTTTATCCCAGGGAACCGGGCAATGCGGTGGAGTACACTGTGACTGTTTGATAAATAAATCTAGACGAATGGCATCTGGCTAGGAAGGAGATGCATGACAGTTCAAAGAATCATAGAGTTCATTGCATGATGTGTTCAGTTTGCTTGCGTTGACTCAATAAATAGCATTACAATCAAATATATACACTACTCTTCACAGAGCGGAAGTATGCCAAAAGGCCATCGTCACCAAATTCTCCCAACTTAGATAACAGCCTTGGAAACAGGGATGACAATGCTGTCCTCCTTGCGGCCAGCACCAATGTCGGTGGTGACCTCGAGAGGAGCCTCGCCGTAGACGACAGCGCCGTTGGGAAGAGTCTCCTGGAGGGTGACGACTAGAGAATATTAGATCATGCTATGGAGGAAATATATGTAAGGATACAAGCTTACCCTTTCCGTCGTAGGAGAAGTCAAAGGTGGTGCGGTCGCAGTTGTGGAAGAAGGGATCCTGAGCCTCGACGCAGGTGTTCCTCAGCTTGTCGTCTCCGGCGTACTCGTCGTTTGTGAACTCAGCGTGAAGGTAGATTTGGCCCTCAGCGGGACCGGTGGTGACATGGACGCTCCACTGGCCTTGGTTGTCGCGGGGGAGGACGGCGGCGGTGGCGGTGCTGGCGCAGAGAGCGAGGAGGGCGGTGGTGAACTGCATTTTGAAGGTTGTGGTTGTGGTGAGAGAGGTTGGTGGATTGGAGTATTGATAGTAGTGTTGAGGAAGTGATGGATGTTGTTGGTGATGTCTATCTATCTGAGAGAAATAACGAAGTTATATACACAGAGCCGTAGCTGCCGAATGCTACCGTGATGCACGTTTCTCGTGATTACGGGGTACGAATACGAACTCTACAAAAAGCATCTATTTTCACGTCGTAATGCGAGGTGTATCCTTGACCTGGCGGTGTGGGGTTGCCTACCTCTTTCGCGCTGGTCGGCCGAGTGCTGTTCGCCATAGAGATACTGTTTTCCAGGGTCCTCAATACTATGAGCGCGCTGGTATTGCGCTTCTCCTTTTCGATGCGTTAGTGAGCTTATTTTTAGACAGGTACAAGCTCAGATCCTGCAGTCCCTGGCGGAGAGATGCGCTTGACGTCAGAGCATCCGACCGTTGCCGTTGATGTCTGTTTTTGGTGCCTCAAGAATATTCGAATACCTGATTGATGGTACTTCACAGTACTCAGTCCTTATTGAGGATAAATTGTCCATTCTCCCCGTCTCAACCTCGTTGTTTTGGTGAGGAAACAGTCTGAGCGTCTTCACCCACCGGATGAATCGCCCGCGAGCATGAAAGAGGAAGTGGAGAAGTAAATCTCCGAACTATTATAGTATCGTGGCGCCGTCAAGCCGGAACAAGCTTTCCAAGCCGAGAACACGAGCTATCTGTCAGGCACGGCATGATATCACGTCTTAGTTATGTACGTGCGCCGACTGTGACGATGCAACGCTCACCGAGAGAAGACATCAACACCGACCAACACCATGTCAGGACGACGTGACTGTTATCGCCGAGCCGGATTATCGGCCGTTGGCCACTCCTGGTTTGTTGGAACGACTTCATGCGTTCGTATTGAGGGTTTCTTTTTCGAAGACTATCGAGTATCCTAGGTGTTTCTGAATCTGCGCGGCAGGAGGGTGGCAATGCGGCTACCAGGACGTTTCATCGAAACTGAACGAGAAGTGTCCAAGCAGGAAAGTCGTTCAGCTAATATCTATGCCAACTTTTGAAGAGTCAAAACTGTGCATGTTGATGTTGATACATAGAGGTAGCATCGGAGCTGTTCCTCCGAGTAAACACTGGTACGACTCTTGCGAAATCATCACATGAGATCGTGGAGGACGAATTCAGCTTCGTGTATTTCTAGTGAAAGGCTTTTCGATGCTGCTGAGCGGCGGTTGGGCATTTTGAAGAGTTGGGGATGAGTCCTGATGGAGCTACGTCATTGCTACCCGCCTCTTACCAGCCATCGTGCTGCATCTGAGGATAAGAAGAACGCAATATTGATCTCGGAAATGTGTACCAGCTGGGAACCGGTAGCTCGAGTTCACGACTGAAGCATAATGATCTTGTATTCTGCTATCGTATCGTAGCTTCCCATTCCTTCAGCGCAGATCTTAGTCTTGCTTCGACGCCATTCTCGTGCCAAAAGTGCCCTGCGCCTGCGACCTCAACACCGGTAAAGCGTGAATCCGGTTTGGTTTTTAGCTGTTCTGACCAGTCTCGGATTTTCTTTGACGAAGCGAAGATATCCTGGTCCCCATAGAGAGCTAGGGTTATATGCTTTCCAATCACTTCCTGACAGTCGTCTTTAGACCTGCTCCAAAACTTGTGTATCAGAGCCGGTGCGGCAAGTGTAGAGGTTGGCGGCGTGAGCGGCGAGATGAGAAGATAACGCACATCCGGCATTGTAGTAGTCGCGCTCTTCTTCTCCGGTTGCGGTATCGGTTCGTGGTTTTCGTGCCGTCGCCTGTGACTGAGGCTTCTCAACCTCGTTCGGATTTCGAGCCGCGAACCGCCCTCTAGACTTCTTCGGACGTCTCTGCTACTCCTGCGCTTCTCTGGACTTGTCTCTTCCCCACCCATTGTAACAGGAGGTCTTGGTTCATTCCCTGCTCTGCTTTTCCTCCTAGCTCTGGTTTCATCCCGAGCTAGGTTGATCCATTCCAGATTGCTCTGGTCTGCTAGCTTGCGAGCGCGCAGAACTATCTCGTCGGCCGCAGTACCTGCTACTGGAGCGGAGAACGGTTGTAGTATAGTCGGTACGGGCGGTAGGTGTCTGAGGATGAGGGAGCCATAGGAGTAGCCTCCCAATATGACTATGGGGGATGCATCATCTTGCACCGGTGTTGACTCGCTTTGGTTCGATAGGATCGGAGACTGGTCGGGCACGAAGGTAAGGTCGGAGGTAATGCGTGGTCGGAGGCAGGATACGTAGTGCATGAAGAATGCGGCGAAGGATGTATAGTCGTCTAGTTCGGGTCTTCCAGACCAGCTAGTGCGTCCCTTAGACCCGTGAGCACCTCTAGTAGTACGTATTAGTTACAAATTGTTACTGTTACGGCGAAGACCTGTGGTGGCCGTACCTGAAGTTGAACGTGCCCACCATCCACCCAGCATGCAAGAACTCTTCCACCACGATACCAACCACCCGATCGTCGTAGCTACCGCCCATTGGCGCGTATGGGTGTGCCATGACGATACCCCTCCTCTTCCATTGCGCGATATCGGCCGAGTCTTTCGGCTTGGTCAGGGTATCTGGATGGTATACGCGGCAATCGAGTGTCGTGTCATCGTGGATCGACGGTATCGTGAAGCTGTAATGAGCTTCCGGTGGGCGGCGCATCTTCTGGGCCGAATCGAGACCCAGCTGCAGTGCTCATTGCATCTTCGACAGGTAATGATGCTAGGCAGTAGCCGATAAGACTATATGCACAATGCAGAATGCAGGATGGTCTTACTACGCGGCTGTGCAAGGTCGTGGGGTTGGCTCAGAGTTGCGGAGAGCGTTCCGCTGATCGCAGGTCCGTGCTAGCTACTGGCAAAGATGCCGGAAGACGCGTCGAAACACCTAAGAGCCCGGCTCTTCCAGTAAGCTCCCATGTGAACCTATACCGCTACTAGAAAACTAACCCTTGTGCAATCTAAGTCCGGGTTTGTCTGATGACTTTGAACACTTCAGGTGGCTGCAAACCGGTGTACCGCCCCGTGGCTGTGCTTTTCGGCTGCTACCTGGGTGAGCCTGGGCTGATTCGTATAATATGGGCGACTCCTCTCCCTTCAGCCTGATCCACGCAGCTGACTTCCGGGCGTTCACCGATGAATTCATCTGTTATCAAGCGAACAAAAATGCGCTACTTGCCATTGATGCTTCCACACTCATGCATCAATTCCTTACACAGCAAACAAAATGCCAAACACCTGTCGGCACAAGCATGTTGAAACCACAGATTCTTTCAGCTGCTGTCTATCTTGCGGCGAACTCGTTGAAGAAGCGACGTCATCATCTCCTCCAGAACGACGCTTCAAGTACGAACCACTCGACTACGAAACCGAGCAATATATCCGGCTAGTGCGTTTGCATCAAGGACAAAAGCAGGACGATATCGTATGCGAGCTTGTCCACGTCAGTCTAGCATCCGAACCACTCTACGAAGCGGTTTCCTATACTTGGGCGATGACGAATGGGGATGCCTCCCTGTCCCAGTCTATAGTTTGTCATGGGAAGAAGCTCGCTATCACGAAGAATTGTGAAGCGGCCCTTCGATGCGTTAGAAGACCAAACCTAACCCGTGTACTTTGGGTTGATGCTATGTAAGCTCGTCGTGCAGACTTCACGTCGTACAAAGGCTGATTGCTCACATTACTATCAGATGTATCGATCAGACAAGCACGACGGAAAAAAACCACCAAGTGCGCCTCATGAACGCCGTTTATTCTAACGCATCTCAAGTGTTATTATACCTGGGTTTCTGTTACCCTCAAAGGATCTCGAGATTCTTGCGTTACTTAGACAAGAGATCTCGAGGCATAATCACTGGAGATACTTGGATCGAGGAGTCCCTGGTTATGGAGTTTCTGCAGCACCCGTACTTCAACAGGGTCTGGGTGTTACAAGAAATATCCCTGGCGAAGCTAGTCGCACTCTATACGGATTCTAACACTATCCATTGGGATGCGCAGACGGTTCGGGAGCTCATTTTCCTGTGCAACGCGTATAAGCACAATCCTCCAGGTGTTCTAAACTGGCTTCCAGCAACTCAACGAGACGAGCACGACTGCCTAGACTTATTACATCGGGCCCGTCGCTGCATGGCCACAGATCCAAGAGACAAAGTTTTCGCTCTCTATGGATTCCTCCCCTTAGCCTTTCGAGAGGCTCTTCCAATAAACTATGCTGTGGACACCGAAGAAGTCTATTGGAATCTCGCAACACACTTGATATTCACCACGAGACGGCTAGACGTGTTGAAGCATGTATGTCCCTATCAGCCTCTAGAGCTCAATAGTATGCCAAGCTGGGTACCGGATTGGAAAATGCGTGATTTCATATTTATGGAGCTTCCCAAATTTACAGTAGCGCAGATGAGTAAGCTTCCGGGTGGCTTCAGTCAAATGTCGATCGAAACTTGGTCAAATGCCGAGCTCCAGTCGAAAGCTACACATGCTTCACATGACAATCGCCAGACACAGCTCAGCTCTCTGCGTGCTTCCTTCCTAGGGTACCGAAGCCAGCATACTGATCACCGCCTTCCAATACCTAGGAGTCACTCCATGAGGTCTTCTTCGATCCCGTATTTGCGCGTACGAGGATGCTTTCTGGACACGGTCACCAAAAATACCTACACACTCCCTTCGGACAGATTCTATTGGGAATTTTACTCTCGTCGACGTGATGGACGGAGACCTGCCTTCGAATCGAATGTCTGTCACCGACCAGGATATTGCTGCAGCCCTTCGTCTGAGAGACGGTTGGATTATGATTGGAAGCAGTTGTCGGATCTGGGTGAATTAATGAACAGCTTTCGTGGGGAAAAGCGGGCTTTTGAGACACATCAATCGATCGGGTTCGCGTTATTTCCAGTTATCAATGAACCATCGCAATCGCGGCAAATAAGGAGAGTAGAACCAGGGGATACGATCTGGGCTATAGAAGGACT